CTCCCCTAACCAAGAAAAGGATGGCAGAGGGTAAGATGGTGAGAGAAACAGAAAATAAAAAATTTAGTCTAAATGCTTCTGATTATAAAATAAATCTTTCAAGTAAATTTCTACCCTGGGTTATCATACAACTTCCTTTATTCACATCTATTCATCCATATTTTATACCAATCTTTATAGAAAGAAAGTTAAATAATGTTATCTCTTTCAAGGACAACTTATGTTATACATAAATTTAAAATCTGAACAGTGTAAGTATAATTTTAAAACTGTCATACCATTAAACATCAACAGGTTGACATAACATCTGTTCTTGAATTTTTCACCCAAGTTGTTATGGTAACCAAAATATGTGGAATATTTGTTTCCTAAATTTAACTGATTATTTCAAGTAAATAAAATTATAGCATATCATCTTATTAACTACAAATATTATTAATACTATAACCCTATATTTATCCTTTTTAAATGCTAGTGGATTACATTTAATAGGCATTTATACATGCTTTATCTCAAAATACACATTTAAAAACAGCAAGGGTATTTTTTTTTTTTCTAACTTGGGGGCATTTTCTTGATTTAAAAGAAAAACAAAACAAGGAACTAGTCTATTTTCTGAACAGTGTACTATACTAAAGTACTTCAAAATTACACGATTTTAGTGCTTTGTAGGAGCTACAGATCACATTCTTTCCAAACATAAGTCAATCCTATCACTCTTCTAGTCCTCCGCTCAGAATTTCCCACTGGTGTCCCATCTGTGAGCAAAGCCAAGGTCCTTACATCAACTACAGATCCCGCATTCTCCACTCTGCCTTGCTTACCCTCCTCCAGCCACACTGGTGTCCTCGAGGTCTCTCAAGTACACCAGGCTCACTCCTGCCTGAGGGCCTTGTACTTACTACTTCTTCTGCCTGGAAAGCTGTTCGCCTAGGAAGTCACATGGCTCTTTCTTTCATTTATTTCAATTCTTCGTTCAAATACCATCTTCTCCATGAAACCTTCTATGACTGACCCCATTTCAAAGAGCTATTCCAACGCCTCTATTGCCTCTGCTCACACATCATCTGTCTGCTATGGACTGAGCTGTTGCGCCTGCCCCAAATTCTTATGTTAAACCCATAACCTCTAATGTTATGACAGTATTTAGAGATGGGCCTTTGGGAGGCAATTAGGTTTAGACGAGGTCATGAGGAGGGAGCCCTCATGAAGGCATTAACATGCCTTTCTAAGAAAAGAAAGAGACATCAACTCGCTCACTCTCTCCCCCACATAAGGAAACAATGTTCTAGAAGGTAGCCATCTGCAAATCAGAAAGACCTTACCAGAAACTGAATTCACCAGCAAATTACTGGATTTCTGGCCTTCAGAATTATGAAAAAATTAATTGCTGTTGCTTAAGCCAGAACCTTGATCTTGGACGTCTAGCCTTCAGAACTGTGATGAATTCATTTCTGTTACTTAAGCCACCCAATCTCTGGTATTTTGTTGTCTGGTATTTTAGTCAGCCACCCAACCTGACTAAAACATTGTTCTTCCTGTACTTTCCTTATCAACAGTCATTACTCAGTAATATGCACTATATCAGTGATTTATTCTATACATTACTAATTAATGCTATTTATTGTCTGTCTTCCTTTACTGGATAATAATCTTAATCAGGCAAGGATTTTTGTCTATTTTGTTCATAACACCTATGTTCTGACATAATATATAATCAATAAATATTTGTTGGATGCACAAAATACAGATTTTAAGTATCTTAAATGTTGATATGCTATGGTAGAAAATAATACATTTCATTGATGATACTCAGAGAATTCAATAAGAAATAAAAATATACAGTCTTTAATAAGCTAAATTCTTTTAAAAAAAATCAAAATTATCAAGATTTTTGTTCTCAGAGAACCAAAGGATCTTACTTTCCTGACTTTCCTGATCTTTTCTCCTCCTATAAATCTGATTTACCAGAACCTCAATCTTCATCCTACTAATTAAATATGGAAACTATCTTATACAGTTAACTCTGTCCAGTTATCTCCATCTCTGCCTACTTCCTAGGTAAACTCATCCATTCTGCTTCAACTGTAATATTTTCAGGTAACTCTGAAATCCTCATCTCTTGCCTGGATTTCTTTGTGCTCTGGTGCCATATTCCCAACTATTTTTGAGATGTGTATCACTTCAGGCTTACTGTCAGGAATGTCAAAGACAAGAGCTTTAGGTACAATATAACACCTTACTTACTTAAGAAAAACAACCACAGCAACAACAAAACAACAATAAAAAGTAGTCTTTATTAGTAGTAGTCTATAGACTCACAAAATTCTATATACTGCCTGAGGAATTGCTTTCTTTCATTATAGAAAACAGACTTACAATAGTAGGGAATTCCAATCTCTGAATTATGACTATGTATTCTAATTAACAATATACTCTTGCACTATCAGTTTCACTTCAACCACTGAATTATTCCCAATATTGTAGTAGAGTTTTATTACTTTCAAATTGAATTTAATCACTTGGGGGGGGGGATGGGGAAATACAAGAAATTATATGAGGTTTTCAAATGATGTTTCTGAACAAGGATAGTTTATTTTTAGAAGGAAAAAAATCTCCCAGTGTTTTTCATCATTGGTTCCCAAGTAACATTTGTTTCTCTAATCACTTTTCCTCATACTCACTAATTAATTCATTATTTTAAAGACTTTTCTAAAGCATATTTTTAACAGAATTTAGGACAGGTTTCAGATAAAAGTTGGCTAGAACTCATTATTCAGTTTAAGCAAACCATATACTTTTAGAATTTCACTAAGCAAATATGCAAAGAAAGGAAATTCTGAAAGGAAACCATGTACTTATTACAACTTCAGAGACAGGCTCAACTTCCCAGGCTGGTACAAGGTCCCAGTCGTAGGGAGAACTAAGAAGACTCTCAGAGCCAGTGATCATCAGTCCTCATCAATTACTAATGAAACATATACAATCCCAGTTCTATGTTGCCCTTTTAAGATGAATGATTATTATACATTATATCAAGTAAATTTCACTGCTGTTTCTTTCTCAAAAATTTTTTTCTTCAAATTAGGAGTATAAACGAAGTATATTTAGAAAGGTCTGGCTATCCCCCAATGCTCATGGAAAGGTACAAAGTATGCCCAGACTATCAACAAATTCTCTCATCATTCCTTTCAAGATATATCCAAAACCTGACCACTTCTCTCCTGCCTCCATAATGTCTTATTAGGATTATTGCAAGAGCTTACTAAATAGTCTCCCTGATTCTACACTTGCCCCACTACAGTCCACTCTCCACATAGGAGCCCCAGTGATCACTATAAAACACAGGAGGCAGGTCAACTCTGCTGAAAACCCTCTAATAGCTTTTCCCCATTACCTGAAATAAAAGTCAAGTCCTTACAATGGTTTAGAGGACCCTTCATGGTCTGGTCCCCCTAAATTTCAAGAATTCTTCCTTGAACCTTCCCTTACTCGATTCAGCTCCAATGTCTTCCTTGCTATTCCATAAACACATCAAACATGAGATCCTGTGCACTTGCTGCTTCCTCCGCCTAAAAGATTCTCTCCAAATATGCTCAAGACTGGCTCCCTGGCTTCTTTCCAGGTTCTATTCAGTAAGGCTTTCCTTGACACATGAACACAGACTAGCAGATCTTCTCCACCGCCCAGCCCTCTCTACTACTTTTGACACGCTTTATATTTCCCTATTGTGCTTATCACCACTTGACATACTACATGTTGGTTTATTATGTGCATTACCTAATTAAAATGTTAGTCCAAGAAAGCAAAGCCTGTTTTGTTTTGTCCCTGCTCATTCCCGGCAATAGAACACAGAAGAGTAGATGAGTATCAACAAATACTGATCACATAAATTAATAAATGAATCTTGTGATTGTTTCTTATCTCAAACTAGATGCAGGCTATTATTCCTTCAAATTGCATACCACTACATTTCTACTTTTCTTATGAGAAGTCACATTCCCTGTCATATTAAGAATCAATTTGTACTTAGCATGAAAGTATCAAGAAACGTATCTTCCTTCTCTTTGTATCCCCTGTACCTACTAGCATCATTCCTTTCTTACAATATGTACTCAATATTTCTTAAGCTGAATTTGAAGTTATACTGAAAGATACTTTTATAATACACCAGGATCTGTTGTTATCCTTTAGTAAACAGCCCAATACCAATGCTTAAATTCTAAGAATATTCTCCTTTTATAACCAACCAGCAAATTTAATGCAAGTGAAACAGAAGAGAGAAGTAGCCTGGCTTAGAGATGTCTGACATCCATTTTGTACTGATGTTGTACCTACAGAAAACATTTTGAATGATGTTAAGTCAAAAGATTTTCAGAAGATAGTAAAAACTACATGAGGGAAAGCTGATTCACTTTGATCCATTCAGGAATTCTACTCAAAGACAAACAAAAAAACCAAAACACTACACAGCACATACTTTACTCTATCCTTATAAACAAATAAATAACTAAAAAGAAATTAATACAAAGAGATTTTTTTTTTCTGAGAAAACAAATTCCAGCATCAATATCAAGATAACCAACTGACCTAAAAATTCTGTACAATTCGTTAACTGGTATTTTTAACAAGCTTTTTTAATAAAGCATACATCACCAAGAAGAGACTACATTATGATCAATATGGTGAAAAAAATATGCCTTGAGTTTTAGACTTCAGCCAAATCAATTAAAATTAAAAGGTATGACACTAAAAATATTAAACCTCCACCATCAAGAAAAGTCAGCTCTACACCAATCTATTCCCCAAGTCTTGTGGACAAATAGGGCAAATTTTACTTTTCAGTCAAATCCTTTGAAAACTGATAATCCATGATTAAAATAATCAAAATATTTAATAGGCTAGACTAGAGCTCTCTTTTTCTAAGTAAAAGAAGTAACAACATTAAGAATAAATGATACAGTAAAAATAATGTTTTGTCTTATACAGGAGTAGCTCACCTGAGGTATGAGTCTATCCAGATACTCAGCTCGATTTCCATGAGAAGGGTGTGTAGATAACCATTCTGGCAACTTGGGATGACCTTGGAGGCTATCTGCAAATTCCATCTGCTGCCAAAACACTGAACTGGCTCTGACATCCACACAAGCCTAGAACCAAAATTAATAACAGAAAAAAAAAATGAGCTTAGTTAGAACAATTTTTTAAAACTTATCTTTATGTCATTATGTTTTTATCACTATTTGTAAATGATATATCAGATAAAGAGCTAATATCCAAAATATAAAAATAACTCAACATCCAAAAAACAAATAATCCAATTAAAAAATGGGCAAAATACATGAACAGAGACTTCTCCACAGAAGACATCCAGATGGCCAACAGACACATGAAAAGACACTTATCATCACTTATCATCAGGGAAATACAAATCAAAACTTCAACAATATATCACTTCACACCTGTCAGAATGGCTAAAATCAAAACCACAAGAAACAACAGGTGTTGGTGAAGATGCGGAGGAAAAGGAACAAGGGTGCATTGTTAGTAGTGGCTGCTACTGGAGCCACAGTGAATAACAGTATAGAGATTCCTCAAAAAGTTAAAAATAGAACTACCTTATGATCCAGCAATTGCATTACTGGGTATTTACCCAAAACATACAAGAGCATGAATTCAAAGGGATATTTGCACCCCTGTGTTTATAAAAGCATTATTTACAATAGCCAAAATATAGAAGCAGCCCAAGTGTCCATCAAATGATGAATGGGTGAAGAAGTGGCACAAACATACAATGACATATTATTCAGTCATAAAAAAGAATGAAATCTTGCAATCTGCAATAACATGGATGGAGCTTAAGAATATAATGCTAAGTGAAGTGAATGAGTCAGAGGAAGACAAATACCTTACGATTTTACTCATATGTGGAATTTAATAAACAAACAAGGGCCACCTGGGTGGCTCAGTCAGTTAGGTGTCCAACTCTTGATTTTGATTCAGGTCATGATCTCACAGTTTGTGGGTTCAAGCCCCATGTCAGGCTCAGTGCTGACAGCATCAAGCCTACTTAGGATTCTCTCTCTCCCTCCCTCTTTCTCTGCTCGTCTCTCACTCATGCTCTCTCAAAATAAATAAATATTTTTTAAAAAAGAAACAAAAAAAAAAAAAAAAGAAAAAAAGTGAGATACAAAACAAGAAACAGATTCTTAATTATATAGGACAAACTCATACCAGAGGGGAGAAAGTGGAGGGATGGGTTAAATAGGTGATGGGGCTTAAGGAATGCACCTGTGATGATACAGGTGTTGTATCAAAGTGTTGAATCACTGTATTATACACCTGAAACCATTATAACACTGTATGTTAACTAACTGGGACTAAAAACTTAAAAAAAAAAGTAGCTAGAAACAAAAAGGCATAGCAATGAAAAAAGTATTTTCTTTTCTTTTTTTTTTTTTTTTACAAATAGTTTATTGTCAAATTAGTTTCTACATAACACTCAGTGCTCATCCCCAAAGTGCCCTCCTCCATGCCCACCCCCCCTCCCCCCCACATCCATCAGTCCTCAGTTTTTGTCAGCATTCAAGAGTCTCTCATGGTTTGCCTCTCTCCCTTTCCCCCACCATTTCCGCCCTTCTTCTCCCCCTTGTTCCTCCGTCAAGTTCCTCCTAATCCTCCTATACGTGCAAACATATGATATTTGTCCTTCTCTGCCTGACTTATTTCGCTCAGCATAACACCCTCAAGGTCCATCATTTTAATAAAAGTAGATATACTCATTGCTTTAAAAAAGCTCATACAACATAGTATTAGAGAAGCCCAAAAGAGAATGCCCTCCCCCTGTATAACATTCACAGTAAACTCACTCCCAAAGATAACACATTATTTTCAGTATGACAGAGATTAAGAACATGTATTGAGGGCAAAAATCTTCCACACAAATTAGTATTTTGTTTTCATAAAAACAAGGTTTCAAAATCTAATCCATTAGGCCAAGATGGAAGAACAGCATGGAAGTTTTTTTTATGCCTTGTCCCTGAAATGCGACCAGATCAACACCAAACCATTCTGCACACTTAGGAAACTGATCTGAGGCTTGACACAACAATCTGCACAACCTGCACCACAGAACTTGGCAGCTCCGCAGCGCGGAGAGGTGAACTGGGGGAAGAGACGCCGTGGAGGGCAGGGAGCTGCTTTTGCTCGCGGAGAGAGGATGGAGACGGTAGGAAGAGTGGGGGAAAAGCACCACCCCCAAAAGCAGCTAGAGAGAACGTGGAAAAGTGTAACCTGATGCAGGGACTGAACAAAAAAGGGAGAAAGGAGAAAGCAGAGGGTTTAAATTCCCTTGAGACTATAAACGGGGAGTGCAGAGTCTGAAACTCCACAGCATGATACCTGGCAGTGCTCTGGGGGGAAGGGCGAATCCCCATGAGCAGAGAGCAAGGTCTGAGGGGTCCTCGGGTCACACGAGGAGTGGCAGTTCCCCTGCCGGGAGGACATGCGGTAGAGGCGGTGCGGCCACCCCGCAGGCCAAGGTCCCAGCTGACCGCGGAGAACAGCCACATTTGCTGGTGCTGGAACAAGGACGTTAAGAGGGAAGCCTAGCGCCAGATGTGTGTTGTGATTTTCCATAAACCCTGAAACGCTGCTGCTACCAGATCACGCGAACTTTTTCAAGCACCCAGCCGCAGTCTCTGGGCATCAGGAGCAGCATGGTCTTGTGAACGTTACTTGGGACAGGCCGGCACCCGGCCACTACTCAGGGAGACCCTCTCCCAGAAAACCTGAGCAGGTCAACGCCGCAGATTCTCAGAAGTGAGGGGATGGGAAACACAGCCCCATTTGAGATAAAACTCAGGAGGCAGGTGCAGCCCGGCAGTCTGATGGTGTGGTCACAGATAGTGTAGAAGCGGGGAGCGGATGCAAGCCCGAGACAAAGAGGGGTGCTTGACTGCCGGCTGCAGAGAACCCAGATACTACATACTAGAGACTGGGTAGCTTGGGGACGCCATTTTCACCCCTCCCACGCATGTGCATACATGTCTAGACACACCACGGTAATCCACCCCAATAAACTATGCAGCGCCATCTAGTGGAGAATGGAGCCATTACACTACACTCCGACTAGGCCAAAAGTGCTCTTGACAAACACAAGTCTCTCTGCCTGCTTAGTTTACAGACTACAAAGTGCTTCATAGCCCGACTTCTACAGGAAACCGGATAGAATTTCAATTATACTTCATTCTGCTTGGCCTTTTTATTCAATTTTTTCCTTTTCTTATTCTTGAATACAGAAAGAAAAAATTTATTTTTATTTTCCATTATTAAAAACATTTTTCTTTGATTTTTTCTACTATATAGTTTACTTTTTTTGTAAATTGTTTAAATTCTATTTTACTTTCATCATTTCATTTTAATCTATTGTACTGTATTTTATTCCTTTTTTCAAATTTTCAAATGTTTTCCTTTTTTCTCTCCCTGTTTTCCTTTCTTTTCCTTTTGTCTTTCTTATCTTTACCTTTTTTCTCTAATCTATTAAGCTTCTTTCACCAACCAGACCAAAACACATCTAGAATCTAGTATCCTTCATTTGATTTGTGTTGTTTTTAATTTTAAGGTTTTTTCTACTTTATTAATTCCTTTTCTTCATCCAAGATGATGAAATGAAGGAATTTGCCCCAAAAGAAAGAACAGGAAGAAATGACAGCCAGAGACTTAATCAACACAGATTAAGTGTTGCAAGCAAGACATCTGAACCAGAATTTAGAATTAAAATAATAAGAATACTAGCTAGGGTTGAAAACTGATTAGAATCCCTGTCTATGGGGATAAAATATGCAAAAGCTAGTCAGAATGAAATAAAAAATGCTATAACTGTGCTGCAATTTCAAATGGATGCCATGGTGGCAAGGATGGATGAGGCAGAGCAGTGAATCCACAAAATAGAGGACAGATTTATGGAGAATAATGAAGCAGAAAAAAAGAGGGAGACTAAGGCAAAGAGCAAGAAATAAAAATTAGAGAACTCAGTGACTCATTATAAAGGAATAACATCAGAATCATAGGGGTCCCAGAAGATGAAGAGAGAGAAAAAGGGGTAGAAAATTTATGTGAGCAAATCATAGAGGAAAACTTTCCTAACCTGAGGAAAGACACAGACATCAAAATCCAGGAAGCACAGAGGACTCCTATAAGATTCAACAAAAACCCACCATCACCAAGGCATATCATAGTCAAATTCACAAAATACTCAGGCAAGGAAAGAACCACGAAAGGAGCAAAGGAAAAAAGTCCTTAACCTACAAGGGAGGACAAATCAGGTTCACAGGAGACCTATCCACAGAAACTTGGCAGGCCAGAAAGGAGTGGCAGGATATATTCAATGTGCTGAATCAGAACAATATGCAGCAAAGAATTCTTTATACAGCAAGGCTGTCATTCAAAATAGAAGGACAAAGGGGCACCCGAGTTAAGCGTCTGACTTCACTTCAGGTCATGATCTCACAGTTTGTGAGTTTGAGCCCCATGTCGGGCTCTGTGTTGATAGCTCAGAGCTTGGAGCCTCTTTGGATTCTGTGTCCCCCTCTCTCTCTGTCCCTTCCCTGCTCATGCTCTGTCTTTCTCTCTCTCAAAAAATAAATAAACATTAAAAAAATAGAAGGAGAGAGAAAAAGCTTCCTAGACAAACAAAAATTAAAGGAGTATATGACCACTAAACCAGACCTGCAAGAAATTTTAAGGGGGATTCTCTGAGGGGAGAATAGACAGGGAAAAAAACAAAAAACAAAATACAAAAAAACCCAAAAATTGAAAAGACCAAAAGCAACAAAGACTAGAAAGGACCAAAGAACACTACCAGAAACTTCAACTCTACAGGTGACATAATGGCAATAAATTCGTAACTTTAAGTACTCAAGCTAAACATCAATGGTCTAAACGCTCCAATCAAAAGACACAGGGTAACAGAATAGATGAGAAAACAAGATCCATCTATATGCTTTTTACAAGAGACCCATTTTAAACCTAAAGACACCTTCAGATTGAAAACAAGGGGATGGAGAACGATCTACCATGCTAATGGTCACCAAAAGAGAGCCAGAGTAGCCATTCTTATATTAGACGATCTAGATTTTAAAATAAAGAC